TATACTGGTTATGTCTTTTGCATTTCATGTCTGCTTTCTAATTTATTCTTATTATTGCTCATATTTATTACCAATTATGCTATGTTTATAAAGTGATTAATCCTATTTAATGTATATTCCAATGTAAAAATGGTGTTACCGTTGAGAGAATAAATAAATAAATAAATAAATAAATAAATAAACCTTTGAATAACATAATGCTACACGTTATGGTCAAACTATCAATGCATCTATGTAGACAAAATATTGTTCGCATATTTAACAAATAAGTCCACGTTCTATTGTAAGAAATCCTTGTAATCTTTTCTGGCTAATGTTAAAGGCATACGACCATAAAACAGATATTCTTCTGTTTAAGCGAATTTCTCATATAGGGAATAAGCTATTATTGTAGGTCTCATGGTAAGACGTAGACCCGGGCCCGATTTACCTTTTGTTTTTGAGGTCCCTAGAGGCCAAAAGCACACTCAGTTCAATGTTATATACACATATGTGTGTGTGTGTGTGTGTGAGAGTTTGTGTTACCGTTAGCTCGATGGCTCGAGCAAAAATGATCCAAATTTGATGAAGTTTGGTACCAACGTGTGAACTAGTTACTTAGTTAGTTAATTCGAACAAATTCGCAAACCAGCATGTTCATACTATGGGAACAGTGGTTTATGTAGTGTTTCATGGGGTAAAAATTGGTTTTCCCATTTTGTACACTAAAAACACAAAATTTCACAATCCCTTTCCAAAACATTTTGTGGAGCCTTAAAAATTAATATTTTTGTATCTTGAAGCGTTGTTGTATGCCTAGAACGGTTACGGAGAAAAAATAAATAACAAATTCCTAGATTCCTATGTTATTCTTATGGAGAATATTTTTTGTATTTTGCTTGTTTATGGATATATTTTTATCAAATTTGGCGATTTTGTTTAATTTATTCTAAGCATTCAACATTCAATAAAAAAAAACACCTCAATACCTTCCCTCTAGCAGCCAAGTAAGTACTCAATACAATTAATGTCATGCAAATATGAAATAAATCTGAAATTTTTTAGGGAATATTTTAGTATAAATCCAGCAATAGAGATTAGCTTAGTTTGCAGGTTTGCTGAGGCGGGGGTGTTTGTATCTACAAAAGAAACATAATGTGTACTTTTCATATCTATGTGATAATTATATTGTAAATCAGGATATGTTTGTATAAGAATTAATGTCAAATATTTTAAACTCTATGTGAAGTAGATAGGATGAAAGCTGCTTGGCGCAGATTAGGGATACAAATAACCACGATTCAAACTATAGCTATTATTGAATGAAACGACTATGTGGGGTTGAATAACGACTGGACTTGTACGATAAGGTATGTACTTCTTACTAAATTGCATTCGAGGTTCATATAAATGAAATAAACTGCAAATAGATAAAGTTCAGTATTAAAATTGATGGCACATATCCCATAACAGTTTATTGCATTTTGTATGTGTTAGGGTATAATGTGTGTCATATATCATAGATTTATTTTATTTTTATATCAGTGAGCACACTACCATTATTTTCAAATCTTAATTAGATTTTTTTGAGCGAGTGCAAACTTTTACCAATTTCTGAATCGTAAAAGGTATGCATAGTAAATGATTTATGCATATATTATTGTAAGTGAATTTTCCATAAGGGAATATGATATAACCGTTGGTCTCATATGGTAACAGAGGTTCTTGGTAGGGGGGGGGGGGGTTATGAGGTAACAATTGTTTTTTTCCAATTATTGACTCTGAACAGATAAGATTTAGCAATTTTATTTTAAACCATTCTGTAGGGCTAAAAAAACAAATAGTTTAGTATATTGAAGCATTTTTAGGCAACTGATAAAAAAAACTATAAATAAAAATTACCTTGTTTTTCTTTTGGAAATTAGATTAACTATTAACTGTAGTTTACTTGTTTACAGATATAATTAAATTAAATCCAGCAAAGCGGTTTTTTGTGTTCTAATGCTATCAACACTTCACTTAAAAAACGTAGCACCTAACATATGTACTCGTCAAACTATTTAAATAGCGGAAATAACTCATAACTCATTTATTGAACCAAAATAACAATACAAAATTCTCATTGGTCATGTCAATTAATAGAACTAAAATTAAAATAAACAATAGACAATGTTATTTCAATAAAACAATACCGATTACTTCTTACAACAACAAAAAAAAAAAAACTAACTAAACCCATCAGCGACACAATCTCGAACACTGTAGTAACCCTTGGCCAAGAGTATTTTTTTGATTTGCTTTTTAAAGCTGTTCAAGTCCGACTCCAGCTGAAGGGAGGGAGGGAGGAGATTAAAAAGTTTAATGCCATTGTAATGAAAGTGTCTCTTGAAAAATGTAGTTGAATTTGAATGAGATGGCAATTTAAGATGAGAATTGTTACGTAGTGAATAGGAATGTGTAAGTGAAGATTGATATTGGTGTAAGTTTTTTTTAATGACAATCTAAGTTTCCAAAATGTATATTGAGGGAAATGTTAACATTTGTGATGAAATAAAGTATTGCCTGCAAGATGTTCTTCTTTTCAAACCAAAGACTGCCCTAACTGCCCTCTTCTGGAGTCGGAAAAGGAAAGACGTTTTCCCACACTCACACCCCCACACCAGCACTGCGTATATCAGGTGCGGGAAAATCACTCCATAATATGCTGTAATTAGAACATCACATTTTGCAAACTTAGAAAGTTGGCGGAGAAGAAAGATTCCCGAAGAAATCCTTCTACACACAGTGTCAATGTGGGAATGAAAGCGCAGGTTTCTATCGAGCAAAAATCCCAAGAACTTAACTCGATCAGTTGCCTCGAGCTCAACATCATTCAAAAGGAAATTGATTTTGTTTTTCCCAGCTGAACTTATAGACAAATTTACAAATTCAGTTTTTCTGGCATTTAGACTCAATGAGTTGTCCTCGAACCACTGCATCATGGAGCTCGCTTGCAAAAAGGCCTTTATTTCGAGTTCATCGAAATTTTGATCAGAAACCGAGAGCGACGTGTCATCAGCAAACAGACAAATGTTTCCAGAATTTACAATTGATGGAACTTCATTCACAAAGACAAGGAACAACACCGGACCGAGGACTGACCCCTGAGGCACGCCACGAGCAGACTCGCAATGGGGTGAGCGGTAGGTATTCAGATATCCTAAGTCATCCACCGCCTGAATCATCACAAACTGCTTCCGTCCCTGTAATAAATGACTTAAACCATTGCAGTTCCAGCCCTCGCACTCGCAATAAATATGACCTTTTTAATGAGATACTTTAGTGAAAATATAATCATGCAAAAGAAAATTGACTATTCTGCAGGTTTTTCTGTGGCGAGTATTATAACAGGTAAAAGAAAGTTTAAATTAAAAAATTAAATGCATTTTTTTTATTTAACCAGGCAATGTAAGTTTGTTTTACGATTGTCCTTTTTACACTTAACCTGTCATAAAAAGTACAAATATAGTTAAATGTCTTAATCTAATGGGTATAAATCTGAACATTTTACAAATAAATATCAATAGAAACAACAATTCAATTTAAGAATATAATTATAACTATATATTTAAATTAAAGATAAGAAATAATGGATATTTAATCAATAAATAAAAGGAAATAATAACACTTCAAATTTCACATATATTTTAAAATACTCTTCATTTCAGTTATAGAATAAGTTTACTTGGATATTGATTTCCCTTTCCACACATAGCAAAGGCAAACGAATAAAGAAAAAAACATACGTATAACCAAACATAAAAATCTATTTCGTACAAATTTACCAAACAACATTTTAAACCTCCATAAAAACCTTTACTCAATTCATCAGTGGACAAAGTTTCAAATTGTTCAAGTCCGGCGTTTTATATGTTTTTACTTGGAGTTGAGAGTTAGTTTAAAGTCTCCCTAAGTGATCCTTCAAGGATGGAAACTACGAGACTAAGATCCTCCGGCTTCCAACTTTACTGCTCGCCAACTCAAAAGGACGAAACGACAAAGTTTCCCACTGAAGACTTGTACAACTTCACTTATGAGACTTTCGACATGTAATTTTCCGGAACACAACACAAAACCTCATAACATTCGGTTGATTACGTTTGCCAAACTTTACAAATAAAATAGTTTTAGTTTATTACTTGTTATATTGAGTTAGAAAGTTTATTTGGTTTTTCAGTACAATTTCATTTGAAGAATAACTTTACTTATTTGTTGCTATGTATGAAATGTATAATACATATATATATAAAATTAATGAAAAAACATTGATATATATTTCATTAGGCATACAATTTGAACAACTGTGACATAAGATATTTCACTACGGTGTGTGTACTATTGATAAACATTATCCTCGATGGTAATACTTTATTACTTTTTCATTAAATTGTTACCATAAAAATAAAAAATAAAAATAGCTGTAGTACCGTTACATAAACCGTCTAGAATATTTACAGCGCCTTTAATTTTTTTCATAATAAGAGATGTTACAAAAAAGTGTTTTAAATGTAGCAAATAAATGTTATTTGTAAGTGCATATATTGAATAATTTATTGAAGATTGTTTTAAAGATTATATTTGTCATTTAATAATTCTGCCTTAGCATTTACCTCTAGACCATGATATATAATTTTCAACAACATAAAAATGGTCATTTTAAAATGTCGAATAACCGACATTTCTAACCCAATCACCATCTTTCACAAACTTTCATACATTATTGTTAGTAAACAATCTTAATGTTGCATTTAAGTTACACTGGTTACTTATTTTTGTGAGGAATGTATTCATGTTTCTAATAGTATTTATTTATGTTTATTGTGACTCTTCGATTAATTTTTACACTTAATATTAAAATGATTTATCTTCAATGAAGTAGTAATGAACCAATGAAAACTAAAGGCTTTAAAGTTTAAAGTATAGCTTGAAAGTTTAATATTTAATAGTTATATTTAAATTGTGAAATCAATGTAAAGTATTACCTGCATACACTGTTTCCTTATCGAACTAGTTTTTGACCATCCTTGAAGCAAGGGGTTGTGTCGTCATCTGAAAACAAAAATAAACATTTAATAAGCTATAGTTTGTAAATAACCGTACGTGTTGTTAAATCACCTGAAAGTATAACGCAATACGTCAAATAACATTTGTAATAATATATTTACACTTATACAGTTTACTTTCAAGGCGGTAAATACTTAAACTATGGTAAGTGGTGATAAATTTCGATTTGGCACTCCAAACCTCATCAGACCCAATAGGCTAATGACAAGAATTTTAATGGCTTTCCTTATATACTATTGGCTACTGGAAGTACCTGCTTATTTGTTTCTATAAGTACAACTGGAGTCAATTGCAATTGTTCAATAATTATCTTATAGTGTACATAAATTAAAAAAAATACAGAAGAAAAAAATTAAAAACAGAAATAAGTTAGTTGATGAAAAAGTAAATTTTTGAGATTTTAGAACTTAGTTCTATTTATATAATCTTATTTGCCGTTACTTTCAGTAGCCAATAGTACATCAGGGAAGCCATTAGGATCCTTGTCATTCGCCTATTGGGTCTGACGATGATTGAAGTGTCCAACTGGGATAAGGCCTTAACTATAATTCGTAATGTGTCATTGAAACACTACACTTTTACTAATAATATTAACATTTAAGGATAATATAAAGAGTATTGGTGTTCATTAAACAATATAAACTTTGACAAATAAAGTAGTGAGAAAAATTATCAAAACAAATCACAATACATTGCCCAGATCTACATTTAGCCTTTATATTCATCCTGTAACATTGAAACTTTCTAAGTGACAGGGTGAAACACATGGCAAATTGCAGACGGATTAGAAACGTAGTGGAAGTTAAGAAGCTTTGAAGGACAAAGGCAGAGGAACATCTCTTCTAAAGTAGTAGAGGAATATGTCCAAGGGCAAGGGAGGAAGTTATCTACACTTATTTATCCTATGTTTGTCTATGATTTATTAAGTTTCTTTTGGTGATTATTGTTCACATGGTATAGCTACTTTCGTACATTGAACCATATAAACTGTAGTTCCTAAATACAATATGTGCACTGAACTGATCAGCCCACAAACTACATATATGTGTTGTACTGAACTAGACATATTTAGGGTTGCTGCTAGCCTAGTGGCTAGCGTCTCGGACTTCGGTACAGAAGGGACGGTTTCAATTACCGGCACATTCACAAAACGTTTAATGGGTTTGAACCGTTTTAACTTTAACTGATTTGACTTGACTTCGTTACAAAAATGCCACTAAAGTAGACAAGAGCAAAAAAAAATAGTAGAAGACAAATAAGGATATTGCTATCAACTAAACTTTTCTGTGCTAAACAAAGTATCTTGATTTTATAAAACGATATTAACCCATCCTTATTAGTTTGGGTAATTAAAAGTCATTTTTACACCTATATACAAAACAAGCAATAGTTTACCCTGTTCTTAATCTTTGCAAAGCCCGAGTACAGCAGCTAGTATTTTATAAAATGTTGTTTGTAATGTTAAAAAGATCAATTATTCCCATTTTATCTTTTAATGACGTCAAAGGAATTATCAAAGGAAAACAAATTAAAATACCACATAGTTAAGGGTTAAAGGGTAAACATATACTTTGTCAAAAGACATGCAACAAGAAAGATTAAGCCAGTGGTCTGAAAGTGATAAGGTCAAAGCTTCTGTTTCTAGGAATCCTGCCATGGAGATAGCACTAAAATAACCTTTTAGTAATGTAATTTATATACGATATCACACAATATATTTCTGAGAAGCATATCAATCAATTTTAGCAAAGCAATTCATATGTATTGAAGAAGTTATATTTATAATTAGTAATAGATAGATAATTAGAGCCCACTACTCATACATGTATGTTTTGTTTGTTAACACTCATTAAATTAACTTAATTAATTACATTCGTAAAATTGCATATAAAAAATTACCAGCACACTGGGGTCATTTAAGATAGTTGAACATTCTTAATAACATATCTAAAATTCCATGGCAACTACTAGGACTTTTAATCCTAACAATATTAAGTTAAAATGAAGAATGATTTCCAAGTGAGTGGAAACATTAGAAATCTGTAAAAGGAAATAAACGTAAAAGTCCTGAAGGGAACAATAAGGCGAAAAAGGGTGATTGTATCTTATTCTGCTTCACTAGGGTATTTGAAGAAAAATCATTTAACGCTTTCAAATGCATTTAAATCCTTTATTGCTGTTAGTTCTTGTTTATTTCGACCACGTTTATGTATTTTATATTTTAAGAAACGAGATAGTCCAATAAACCTAACCTTGTAGATTTACATAAAATCTATAAATCCATCTATCTTTTATTGAATTATTTTTTATCACCCTACAATTATAAAATTAATTATTTAGGTAAGGAACAGCTGATTGTAAGTGCCAAATAGTTTAGACTATATAACTAATCTTGGACTATTTATTTTGTAATGCTTGTAAATAAACAGTATTACAGGATCATTGCACATGAGCTAATAAATAAATGGAAAAACATGTTTTTTTTTATTATTGAATTACTTATTATAAAAATATCCTGACCTAGTCATAGTTTTGAGATGTTAAAATAAACATGTCAATAAGTGGGGAGGCATTTATTGATAAAAAGGTTGAATAACAGGGGAAGCACCACCACGGCCCCATCTGTCAACCACTTAATCTTTATGCCACGGTGCTGCACCTAACTGCATTTGCTAAGTTCCCTAATATCCGAAAAACTTCATGAAATACACTATGTTAGACACAAAATGCAAAGGTTCTACAGGATTCTTTGTTTTTATCTTAGTTTTCAAGTATTATGCGTAATTTATTATTTATTTTCAACTCTTTTTTTCATTTTCCTATATTAAAATTGTATCGACTATTTTATTGTTGTATGGTAAGGCTATTCCATAGTAAGACCTGTGCCCGGGTCCAATTTTCCTTTTCGTTTTGAGGTCCCCAGAAGCCAAAAACACTCTCAGATATATATGTCTGTTAGTGCGATAAATCGAACTAAAATAGAACAATTTTGATGGAATTTGGTACAAACGTGTAAACCTACGTTTATTAAAACGAGTAATGGACCATCTTAATCGGACCATTTGAGGGGGTTTTATGGGGGGGGGTTAATGATTCAAAATTTGTTTCAAATTCTTTACTGTAAAAATATAAAATGTCACAATTTCTTTCCAGACCATTTTGCGGAGCTTAAAAATAATTTAGTATATTGAAGCGTTGTTGTATGCCTAACGGTTACAGAGATAATTAATAAAAAACACAAATTTAAAATTCACCTGTTAATCTTATGGAGAACAAATAAACTGTTGTAGTTAGTTTGTTTATTGATATATTTTAATACAATTTTGCAATTCTGTTTATTTCATACTAGGCCATCAACATTTCAATAAACCCCCCCCCCTCCCTGTAGTAGCAAACCTAGGTACTCATTAAAATTAATGTAATTTAAATAGGAAATAAAACTAAAAATGTTAAGGGAATATTTTAGTATAAATTCAGCCAGATAAATGGAAATTCGCTTAGTCCGCTGGTTTGCTGCGGTGGGGGTATTTTTAATACTGACATAGTATTTATTTTCTTTAAATTTTTCCAGCCATTTTGAAGTGTAGCACCTAGTTATTTAACCTGACACAGTTTTATTGAAATATATTTTCTTTTAAGAATAAAAACCGGTATGTATAACATCAACGTATTAAGCTTAGATAGTAATTTTGATGTTTAACTTACTGAGGTGTAGGTACACATATTATAAGCCGAATGATAAATAGTACCCAAACTTTGTGTATTATTTAATAGAAAGTTTGCGTTGCATAAATATAAGGTTAGCATCTGGGTATCGGCAGAACAAATAATAAACATTGTAATTAAATATTACAAACACATATAAAACTGAAAAGGTGAGGCTAACTTTATTTTTCTATTTAATAAACACATGGAAGGGTATCTCTCCCTCCTACTTTAGAAGAGATGTTTCTTCAGCTTTGTCTTCCTAAGCTTCTTACCTTCCCAGAGTTCTAATCCGTCTGCAGCTCACCATGTGTTTCACGCTGTTACTTAGAGAGTTTCAATGATACAAGTCTTTTTTCATGAGAATATGACCTTAGCCTAATATAGAATATTTTGAAGTAAATACTTTTTCTTATATAATTTCAAAACTTCTAACTTCAACAATAAATATACCTTAGCAATTATAGTAAATACGATAGCTCCGTTTTATTTCTTCGGCATTTAAAAGGTGCAGGGAGAAATGTTATTTTCTAGATATTTTGTTTCCATTTCTCTTAACAATGTTTTTTTATTATTTTACTTATGAAGTAAAAAGGTGTTAGTAATCAACTACACCGTATAGTATTAGGAGTATTATTTTAGGGGTTTTTCATGGATTTTGATAGCCATTTTACTAATTTCAATCAAATGTTTTCAACTCTAATGTTTCCTTAACGTTTTTAGAGTAGCTTATAAATTATAAGAAATCAATTAATTGATTATTTCTTTACAAGTTTTGAAGAGAATAACCCACTCCTATTTACACTAAAGCTGGAAGTCTTTGTTCATACATGTAAAAATAAAAACCTTAAGGAAACTAATACATTTCGAATGTATTAAATGTGTTAAACACAATATTGATTGAAACTCTGACAAGTACACAAAACTTCGTCAGTTTTTTTGGTATTGCTTTGTGGCATACTTACTTATAGAAGCAATCCGGTTGCAGTACTAAGACGGCATCTGGTTCATGGATTTGCAATGAGTAAAGAACAAGGCAAGGAGAACCTTTCTTAGTCAACATTTTTGTAATTTTGACCTTTATATCGATAATTTTCTTTTCTTAGTCAAACGTAATTTAGAAAACTCTTTTCTCATAACATATAATACATGGAAATGACATGCTTAGTTAAAAGTTTTCGTATAAAACACTTACAAAGAATGGGTCAATAAGGCAATTTATTGTTTTTGGTCAAGTAGTTTGGAATTAGATGTTTATCCACTTAAAATATATATAAAAA